CCGTGACGGAGCCACTGTTTCTGATTTAACAGTTCAGACTACTCTAATTCTGCAGCAGGATGGATTAAATTATTCCAGCTGGACAGTTGCTTCTCATAGGCTGTCTATCTGACAGTCCTGCTTCTAAAAATATCAGAGGTTGGATTTGCAACGCTGATCTCTGATAAGTAATCCTCTGCTATCACTAGAAGTTCTCAACTCACAGAATATGACGGCAGTTAAAGAAGTCGCAGTAGTAGGAGAAGGCTAGTATTTCAGAATTTCCAGCCTTCCCCTTTGAATTCCCATTTTCTTGTATTTAGTTGGTTTTCTTGGCGGCTTGTGGCAGCAGCAAAAGTAAATCCCAGTTTGTAACTGTGTACAGTTTGCAGCATGTATTCATTTCTCTGCACAGAATTCTGGCTTTCATTTTACTTCCTATGTAGCAGATGAAATCCTTGTGTGTTTACCTCAATGGGCTTTCGAAGGGTGGCTTGGTGGGCGGAGAAGTCGTCTATTTTTTCATGTGTTGTGGGCTATGGTCTTCTGTTTGAATATCTTCAGCTACAGAGTTTGTGAAAAGTGCATAACCCCAAATAATTAAGCTCCTTGCCTTTCTGCCTTTACATTGATAAGGCTCCTATAATGTACAGCCATAAAGTGGCTGGAGGTCTCCTGTAGCACATTTTTAATTCTTCTGCTTAGGGAAAAAAAAAAGAAGGTATAGGATTTTATGATGTTGCCACGTGGTAAAGTTAATTTTCACCATGAACCTTTGGGAGATTGTTACCTTTGTATTTTAACAAGGTAGACATTGCCTTAACTCTGGTAAATTCTGCTGTATTTTGCCCTGCTGCTGTCTGAAAAGAAGATGGTCTTTCTCATTAAATGATATGCATTCTGAAGCATTAAAAACTGTTTTACATAGACGCATTAGGCAGCAGACACAATGATTGGTGTCTTAGTTGGGGACTTTGCTTGAGCCAAGATTTTTTTAAATCATTATAATACAGTAGGATGCTTATGCAAAGAGTAGGGAATTAAACACACTCAAGTACGTATCAGCGGGACAAGTAATGCTCGACTTATTTATTTAAGCATTCCAAAGCCTGCTTTTCTTTCCACGTTAGCAGTGCCAAACATATTGATGATAATCTGATGCACAGTTTTAGAGCCTTTACACTCAAACTATTTAAGCATCAGTTCAGTTATTCTGCTTACTAAAGTAATAATTAGGGGCTAAAAGGTAACCAGATTATTGTAGAGATCTCTCTTGACAGCCTTTAACACCTAGTTAAATGTTAAAGCCTGGAAATTACAAGCCTCTCAGTATCATTCAGACCACACCATATTTTTAAGCAATTTGCTATTTCTGGATTTTTAAAAAAAATTTTTTTTTTCATGCCATGGTACCACTCCAGTGTTCTCTAGCTTGCTCTGAGCACCTGCCCGCTTGCAGAACGAGTTCATTAGGCAAAAAAAGTCCCTAAGAACAAACTTCTTGCTTGACATGGATGTTAGGTGGGATTTCCAGGAATTTTGCAGCTGATTGGAGATACACTGGGGCTCTTTAAATGCTTCTGCCTTGCCTACACTTGGATTTAATGCGTGAGCTAATCTAATAGTTTGCCAGTGTTGTGAGGAAGAGGTACCGCTCTCTCCTCTGACCTCTCCCCACACGCCCCTACTCTCTGCAATGTGCTGACTTCAACGTGCATTGGAGCCCCCCATGAAAATGAGGGGACAGTGATGGATGGGAGTGGAGGGAAGGAGGAGTAGGAGTGAGGTGATTGTGATCTACTGGAATCTGTCACACTTCCACATCAGAACAGAGGTTTCAATAAAGCCCATAGCGGGTTTTTCCAACACAAATAAGCACTGCAGTAACAAGGCAGTGTCCTGGGAGTTAGCATGCAATTAGCAGTCAGTGCTATCCCGCAATGATTTTTCTCTGGTTGTCTGCACCTGCTAGATCCTAACCCAGAAAATAGTCACTGCTGTTCTTACCTGCACGAGCTATATTAGACTAATGCACTTATGCAGTTATCTTTCTTTATCCCATCTCCTCTGAGAGCATTATCCAATGCAGAAGTGATAGTAATTAGCAGCAGCAGACTTGAAAGCATATGTTACATTATGAAGACATGTACTGTATCAAAAAGTCAGCTAGCCTGTCTAGTTTTCTTACTGTAGTTGCTGGGAACTGGAGACATTACATCTTCCAGTACTGAAAGCTTATCAAAAATCACTTATTTATACAGACAGCACTTGTATGGGTGGATGTATATTCTGAGAATACTGTCAGCTGCTGTCCTTCACTGAAAATTTGCACCCATGCTATTCAGCATGATTGATTTGAATCTGTGCTTGTACTTTGGAAACAGTATAGGTTCTATAAATCACAGAATCATAGAATGCTTTGGTTTGGAAGGCACCTTACAGATCATCTAGTTCCCACTCCCCTGCCAGGGGCAGGGACACCTTCCACTAGACTGGATTGCTCAAAGCCTCATCCAGCAGCCTCACCACTCTCGCCATGAAGAATTTGTTTCTTCTGTCTAATCTGAATCTACCCGCTTTCAGTTTAAAGCCCTTACCTCTTGTCCTGTTGCTACCGGCCCTTGTAAGAAGTCCCTCTCCAGCTTTGTTGTAGCCCCTTCAGGTACTGAAAGGCTGTGATAAGGTCTCCCCAGAGCCTTCTCTTCTCCAGGCTGAAAATCCCTGACTCTCTCAGCCTGTTCCCACGGGAGGGGTGCTCCAGCCCTTGGAGCACCTTCACGGGCTTCCTCTGGTCTCAATCCAATGGGTCCACGTCCTTTTTATGTTGGGGGCCTCAGAGCTGGACACAGTACTGCAGGTGGGGTCTCGTGAGGCTGCTCCTATCTGTCTATAGAGGGCCACATCAGCTTAGTCGTCCGAGTTGGGTGGCCTGTAGCAGACCCCCACTATAATGTCACCTGTTCCTGCCTTCCCTTTAATCCTGACCCATAGGCTCTCAGTCGGCTCCTTAAATAAGACTTAACTGTGGAGATGCAGGTTCAAATTAGTAATTAATACTTGACCTTACTGGAACTTTCTTGTCCAGCTGCCCAAAATGGTTATCTAAAACTCTGAAAAACACATCCTCAAAGGACAGAATTGATCTTGTCATCTGAAATGGAGGAGTCTAGTCTAAGCTACTTCGGCTGTTGTTTGTCTCTGCTCTGTTGTCAAGGGAGATACATGTCCACAAAGTGATTTTTCCTGTCCTAAGAGATGCATCTCTGCCTATCAGGAATGATCATCATCTGAAGACACTAATCTCTTTCTACTCACTGCAGGAGGAATTCAGATAACTAGCTGACTCCTGCATATGCTGTGGATCCAGCTGTGCATGACTGACTGCCAGCGGTTTCCACTTAGCTAGGTTTTCTGCTTTTATTAAGAAGAACTTGAGGTCTCTGTTAGCAAATAATACTGAATGTTAATAGTACTTCAAAACTACATTTAAAACCAGAACAGCCTAAGTTAAGTTTGAACATTAAGTAATGCAAAACAATGCTCTACATTTTTATTTTTTGTTATACTTTGAGTTTATAACTTAGAAACTCTCTTGAAAGTATCTGAAATTATGCTGATGCATCATACCAGGTATGTTTCAACCAGATTTTTCCTTTCTTGTTCAAATGCTTTCTTTTGAATATTGCTCTTCTGTAAGTCCAACTAGCAAATCAAAGACCTTATTTACTACAGCATACTTAACTTTCAGCTCTTAAAGGAGTAATACATTACATGTTCACTTATTGTAGAATATAAGGAAGGCAACCAGAAGTCAGTTGTGTGAGACATGAATAATTTCATGAAAAAGCTGCCACTGGCTATATTATACATCTATGTAGCTTATGAAACAAAGCAAATGATCACCATCAATTATAATACCATCATTTGACAACTCTGCAATTAATTTCCTACTCTTAAATAACTGCTGTCGCGTAGTGCCAAAGAAAATGCCATGCATTAACTGACTCATCACCACAGTCTGTGATAGATAGCGCAGATGGTAATTTGATTACTCATCTCCAAGAAAATAAGTGCTTTATTATGAAAAACTATCCTTTTTGGTCTTCTGAAAGAACTAAAAATGGATACCTTGAGTATGTTTTAAATAATTCCTACAGTAAAACAGTTATTCTGAAGCAGTATTCTGATTTTTAAGATTTGTGGAGTAGCGTTGGATGCCAGATAGCTCACAGACATGGCACAAGCAGATGAAGGATGGGCTACTGCAAAACCTGTGCATTTCCCCTCTGTAAAAATGCTTCTACATAAGAAGAATGGAAAGATTCTGCTTTAGCTACCAGAGAGTCTGCAAACTTTACTATACACCTTGAAAAAGTGCTCCATACACAAGACTAAAATATTTACCCAGCAAGAGTAATGGGCTACCCTGCAGTAGCTATCAAGATAATTAAATTATGGCATTTGCATTAAACACTTACAGACATGTGTTTAACATACAAAGCAAGTACCACTTCTGCCAGGGTTTACTTGTGGAGTTAACTTTACTTCTTGAGCCGAACAACAGGCTTCTGTGGAACCATCTCTGACATTAAGTATCACCTTATTTTTACATGAAGCAAAGGCAGAATGATCCTCAGAGCGTTATACACCAGCGAGTAGCAAATGTAGCACTTTTGTAAGAACTTGAAGCACGTTCAGTATTACTTTGTTGTTACCTTGTGTTTGCATTTACTGAGGATATAAAGGATCCATCCAAAGATACTTGATAACTTTTAAGTAGTGCATGGAAGAGTGTAGGGTGTCCATGCATACGATAAATACAGCGGTTGCCGTTTTAGAGATGTCATGCAATTTGCAGTGCATAGGCAAGAAAAAAACCCCAAACAAATTCCCTGATTTTCAGAGTAGATCAAGGGAAACAAATGTTATGAGTACAAATTAGTTTGCAAATGCCTTCAGGCAGCAATGGAAAGTGAGTAATTCGTACTGGTTCATGTGTAACTCCAAATGCATTGACATACCTCCCCGGAGAAAGCCTGTCCGTTGAGTAGGTGCTCTGACCCCTGGCTGTCTTCACTTCCAAAGTGTAACCGGATTTCCTCTAAGCGGTGACTGTACGTCATCGGTCCTCCAGAGATGTTGACCAAATGCTCTTTGTCTAATCGCAGAGATACATGTCTCCCTGTATTATACATCGTCCCACTGACCTAAAAAAAAATGGAGGAGAAAACAAAAGGCATTTCTTCAAAATAATTTGCAAATCCTAGAAACCAGTTATGTGTACTTCAGGATTTTGGTGTTTGCACACCTTCATTTAAATGTAGCAATACATCTTATTGTTGTGAGATGAAATGCACAACCTGAGGTTATACTTCAACTACTGCTTTGAATCTTATACTGTATATTCAAATATTTTGCTAAATCCATATGTACATATTTTAGCCAGGGGCACATGGTTAACACAGTGAATAGGATTATTATACTTCTAAATAAGTAGGATTTTAGAATATTTTTTATGCAAGGTCTGAATAGCGGCTTCATTACAAAACTTCTGCACTGAAAATGGGAACATTTCAGCTGACATAAATTATTTAAGTACACTTGAACAAATCTGAAATTTAACTCATTTTTTTTTCCTTTAATATTTATAACAAAGTTATCCAAAAGTAAAGGTGCTGCAAAAAGCAGAGATATAATTATTCATAAATAGGGAGCCCTAGTCCTACTGGAGCTGCAGGTAAAAACTTTCATTGTCCTCCTCTGCAAGTCTCTTTGTTTTGTTATGAATATTTTATGTTTACAATTGCCACATATTTTAGCCATAGCAGTACAGAATTAATTAAAATCTAAATGTTTTACGTTTACACTTGAGAGATATTTTAGCCATAGTAGCACAGAATTAATTACAATTTGATCATATATCTCCAGTTCCTAGTACACTTCAAATAGTTGTAATGTTCCTCAAGATTCATCTTTATTTTTAAAAAGATGGAATATTGTGCTTAATTTGCAAACTGATTTAAAGCTGCTGTAATGACAAAGAAAATGAGTGTGGAAATTTTTCATATGGAATATAATTCTGTCATAATTTCCACTGCTATATGAAAAGTTCCTATAGCAAGAGGTTCCTTAATTTATGCCATTAGAAAGTGAAATATGTCATTTTGAGTTAAAGTAGAATTGTGATTTGTTTAAAAACATTCTGCATGGATACAAATGATACACTTGAATAACATTCATTTACTTTAAGAAGTGCAAGTGTAGCAATAATATGCTTTGTTGCACTTCAATTTAAATTTGGAGACATGACTATTATGCATTATATCCTATACTACATCAGTACTATAGTAATTAACATTGCTGCAGTGTCATTTTATCTGTAATACTAATTACTGAGTTTAAATGACCTGTTTTCTTGCACAGTACGTTGTAAAAAGTTACACTGAACAGACTGTGCAGTAGAACTAAATGGATGAGATGAAACAGCTTTTGATTGTTGTGGTTTTTTGAACTTTGATACAGATGTTCCATTCTTTTGTGTTTATTTCAATTCAAAACAAGCAGTAATAAATTTCTTACAAAAAGTAATAAACACAAATATTCCTATTAATTGCAAATAAAGCACAATGATCTTATTTATAAACGTGCCTTAGTTTTTCTGCTTGACTTTGCATGCGTAATAATTAAATACCAAGTTCAGTTTAATAGGTGGAAGAAGGTCAGTTTATTGAATTCAGTTTCAGTGCACTGCATATAAATGACATAAAATTGCTAATCATAAGTAACAAATGTAGTTTAAAAACAAATAGGGGAAAATGGTTTAAAGCCTCTTATTCACATTTGGAAACTCATGCTTCACCGCACACTCAGTTAAATTTAGCAACTATGCAAAATATTCAGAATCCATTTTCTTACTTCAATTGGTACAAATCTCAAATTAGGTTACCATTATTTTCTCTCTCAAGGAAAAATGACCCAAATAACCCCTAATATGAATCAAATAACTGTAGAGCAGAGAGGGGAAATGATAAGAGTCATATTCATGAACAGGAGTAACAATTGTCTTTCTCATTTCTCCCTCATATAAATGCAGTGCTTGTCATGAGACTGTATGGCCTGTTTTAAAACAGCTTTCCCTCCGTAGCTGCAGGTGAAGAATATCAGTAACGCAGCGAAGTATCTGGCCTGCCTCATTTCTGACCTGCAGCGAGGGAGACACGCTTGAAATGCGACTGTAAACATCTCCTGCACGGGCACACACACTTGTCACCAGGAAGGACAAAATCCAAGACCTTCAATATAAGGAATACAAGGTCTTGCCCTCTTACCTGCTGCCTTAGGTGTAAGTGAAGCACTAGTATTCTCGTTGTGAGTGTGTACCCGAGGGAAGAGTAGCCACATAGACTGGTCTAGATTCAGGACCACGTTAGACTTGACATGCCCATCCCCATGCCCACTTCTTGAGGGTGTCAACATATGGCACCATTACTGGCAACTTCTAACAGACACTTTTATGGGCACTTGCTTTCTACAAGAAGAATCCAAGTGCGTTATGTTTGTCATCTACTCAGATTGCATATGAATGAAAGATTGAAATATTTAGGATCCTGTTTTTTAAAATTTCTGGAGACTTTTAGACTTACCAAGATTGTATAGTAGGCTGTACTTGATTATGGGAAGTTTCACCGTAACGCTATCCGTAATTCTTTATCGCGGTCCAGAATATTGTCTATTTTATAAACAAACCCAATATCTTACCACCTTTAAAAGTGCATTTCAAGTATAACTATTTACAGTCATAGGACATAGTATCATATAAGCAAAATCACCTTCTGTTAGCAGGTTTGAAGTGCTCAAATGCTTTATACTCGGTAGGAAAGTGTCATGCAAAAACCAATGTAAGGAGAGAAAGTTGGCTTCCACTGTTTTCAGTAGAAAACAATGCATTGTCTTTTTAATATGTGTAGTTTTAACTGCTGCTGAAGAAGAAGGTGGTTCTGATCTTACTACATAAACCTACTGATAAAAGAAAGATTTTCCATGTTTTATGGTACTGAGCCTTTAAGGTGATGATGCACTCTTGTTTTAGAACATCAAACTGTGCTGGTTTTGTGGAAAGCAAAGTTGCACGTGGTCTTGTAACAGGGCACAGGCACAGAAGTTAAAGAAGGAGGTATTCTCTGTATGTTGTACCTTCTCCTGCAGGATAAACAGTATGCAGACAGGGGCACCTTACGGTAAAGATGTTGACTCCTCCTGGTAGAGTCAACAATATCTGCTACTCCAGAAAGCACAGTATTTATTTTTTATACCGTTCTGTGGATTGGATAAAATGTTATAGGGTCGTTTAAAAGGATAATATAAAAGGTCTGTTAAGATTTATACGACTATTTCCTTAATGTGTCAGACTAATCTTTGGTGCTAAGTCCTTCACAGTGATGGCCTTTGTGTTGTTACTTGCTCTGCTATTAAATAACCCTTTTGTTCTGTGTTTCTGTTTTGACTTGAATGTTATATAAAGATGAAAACATAGCAAACAAGCTTAGGGAAAAAAAGAGCAATGAATCTTGCCCTCCTGTTTTTCACATGCACTAGAAATAAGACTCTAGGAACAAAAACATTCATTAAAATGTCAGTAAAAGCCTGTCTGAGAAAACAGCAAAGTCCAACATTGTCAAAGTTAACGAGCATACCACTTTTTTGTTGACCCCATATTCCTCATATATTAAGAAATGTTTCCATACAGGTAATTTTACCTGTGGCAAAACCCCCAAGTAGAACAGAGCATGTTGATGGGCTTAACTTAAACCTTAACTGTGGTTCAACTTTGGTAGACTTTAATTAAATTATTAACATATTCCTGATGTAGTTATTTTCTATTTAATCTCATTCATTTTAATTCTGGCTGCATAGAGCTTTGTGCACATAATTCCCCAGCAGCATTGTTCTCTCTCTTTATCTTGATGGAAGACAGCCACACAGGCACACGCTGCTGATGTATTCTATACTGCATTTGTAGGTACGATCTGAATACTCATGTGGTATCTGCGTGTAACTTGCTGGTCCTGTGATCTTCAAAAAAGTCCCACTTCTTCCCTTTGAAAGGTGGAACACAAGGAAAGTCAATAAAAACGCAAACCTAATAAACACCAACTCTTTGAGGCATGTTTATCTTGAAACTCTACAGACCTTTATGACCATGAGGAAAAAAACCCCAAACAATCCCAAAACCTTTTTTTCTAATGATATTCTTTAATCTTGCGTTAGTGGAAGCGTTTTTTGCATGTCCTACTTAACTGTGTATATTGTTCGTTTCCTCTTCTCTTCCACAACTAGTCCTGCACTAAATATTTTTCAGAACTTCCCTTGTGGTCTACATCTTTCCATTACAGTCTGTGGTAAAATAGCCTTCAGAGCCCTGAGCAGAAGTGACAGAAAGAGAAGCCTTTCAGGGCGAAGCCGTTCTAGAGATGTAAGCAGGGAACGCGAGAGGAAAGGAGAAGGAGCTGAGATGGATCCTCTGCCTTTCACCCCCGTGCTACCTTAACCGTTCATGGTCACCTGTCTTCAAGGGCTACCGCAGGCTCTCTGCTTCCCAGGAGCCTTTACAAAATAGCGAGAGTGCATTTTGGATTTATTCAGGTAAGAGTGGCCTGAAGATTAGTTCCAAGAACATTTTTAAACTTGTATCAGTACCTGCCAGTGGAGCAGCACTGAATATAAGGAAGCAAGAAAATCAATCGTGCATGGCTGCCTGCTGCGGTGTCCTTGGATCTTATCTGCGATATTAGATGTTCCTTTCTTTAGGATGAAAATAGTTACAGTCCAAAGAAGGCCTAGTACTGTG